GGCAAGTGGACGCTTTTTTACCTCCGGTCTGCAGCCGCGGGCCAGTGACGTCACGACAACGAAACTAATGAGTTTATTATGGTTGACTGATGGCCTGGGCGAGTGATGGGGTTTTCAGAGCGGCCGGTCACAACATGACCTGCCGCCGAGGGCCGACGCTGTACACTGCAGTGTGGTCCGTGAACCCGGCAGCGCCACCGGCGGCCCCGGCCCAGAGTCGCGACATGACCTGCCGCCGCGGGCCACGGCCTGGAAATGTCTTCTGTCTGGACAGTCCACAATGATACTGCCAGATAATGACTAGCGGTCGATGAACTGGTCACAAGCAGCACACGCTAGGCAAAAGGAGAGCAACAGCAGCAGCGCTGTGGATGCCCGGTACTCGCCATGAGCAGCTCCAACACTTCTTCACCAAGCTCAGGGCAAGTCTTGCTTTCATCCGAGGAAAACCCAGGGAGAAAATATCAGCAGAGCAGCTGGTTGGTATGACAAACTTTGGAAAGACACCGCTGGATAAACGTAAGTTAATCATTTCGTATGGATAATCGGCCGCATTGAAGTGGTGGCTTCAATATTGAACTGCAACAGGGATCGAAATCGAACGATTTGCTTCTCAACATGATGAGGTACGCGTTCGATAAAAAATGGAACTAGTTCCAAATTTACCTGAACTTACATGGTGGAGGTCTGCTGAGTTTAAGCTGTTAAATAAACCGTGTAAGTGTTGCCTTAGCCCTTTGTGGACGCAGTGAAGGGTATGATACACCACCGTCCCCTCCCAACACTAAAGGAATTTTAACTTAGCGTAGTTAGCATGCTTGCATATTGTTTGCTTCGGGCTCTTTACCAAGTTATCAGCTTAGGAAAAGGCTGATGTGAAGCAGCAGTCAGCATCATGAGAACAGAGTTGTCATGCTGAGGTACCAACCTTCAATATACCAGGAGGTTCTGCTTAAGCGACGTTATGGAGCAGTTTCCTTATGTTGACAACACTTGACGTCTCGTGCTGGGCTTATGATTGCGAGTGATTACCAGTAATTACAATCACAGCTTGGAACGCCGAGTGCTGTCGATATAACCAATGTTAGCTACAAGTGCCGCTGTTTAACCAGTACCTCCTTGCATATTGAAAACCGATAACACAGTATGAGAGCTCTGAACTTTGAGTTCAGAGTTCAGGACCAAACAAAAGAAGTTTTCTTTGTTTGAGTGTCTTAAAAAGGGGAATCCTAAAAAGGGGATTCCTAAAAAGGGTAGGGCTGTTAACCGTGTTGAATCCTCTTCACAATGGCTGTTTCAGTTCAAACCCCCTACAAATATGGAACACTCGCTTTAACTACCTCAGGGGAAACATCTGTGACCTTACGAATAAAAATTGCATGGTGCAAGAGACATAAGAGCTCCAAGGGGTAATTTTATGAAATTGTTGCAAAACGTTGCATAACGTTGCAAAGACAGAGTATGGCTAAACAAGGCAAGGCAGCACCCTAGAATCGCTTCCATGGTTTTGAGGATAACAGGATCCCCAAAGTAAGATTTGTAAAGAACTGAAATGTTGCGAAATATTACACGCACAGAATGAATGCCAATGTTTGTAAATTTTTGGGATCGAGTGAAAGAAAAGCCCGAGACACCCTTTTTCTCACCGGATTTAGCCCACTTTATTCTGATGAAAGGCAATACGTGCTTAATTTTGTGTATGATTTATAAAACAATTATTTAACTTCAGCAGCATATCAGACATGCAGGGGTGGATCCAGGGCGGCATTGGACGCACGCGCCTCTTCGGATCGGCAGGTGAAGGCACCCCTTCAGAGGCCACCTGGGGCGCTGATGGCGCTCTTTTGTGGTGGTCATGGGAGGTGGCACGCAATCTGGTTGTGGAGGAAGGCGATAGCCATTAAGAGTTAGCCATGTAGGACTTATGTTACGGCCATATTCCAGAGCGTTTCACTTTTACCTCACAAACCATTGCATATCTTCTGGCCCTTGGTGTGTAAAGTCTATTGCATCGTTAATCCGCTAAGCTGTTACAATTTGTATCTAGTGGTGAGAGCATCCACGACTTTTTGTTACGAGGGTAGAGAGGGTTCTGATATTGGTGCGCAGCTATATACGAGAACGTGCGTCTCCCTGGGGAGGCAAAATTCCGGTTTCATGAACGAATGTAGCTACCGAGTTTGGGGCCAAGCCATCAGGCCAAATGATACATCCCACTCCAATTTCCTTCTTGTCTTTGAATAAGGTCACAGCGCCGCCCCCCCTCCCCCCAATCCCCTTCCAAAACAGCGTTGCTTTATTAGCGTTAATATTTTTTGTGACATGCGAGTTGTGGGCAAAAAATGTTTGTCTCAATTTGGCGCTGTACCTCATTTCTCAACTCAACTTTTTGCCATGTCATCAGGAGTAACATTAATTCATACTTGTATGGGGTTTAGGCAACAGCAAGCTGCTTTCATAAGATACCTAACGAAATGCGCTGAAAGAACAACTCTGAGGATGAGTTTGCTGTAACTCTGGAGCAGAACATGCGTGTGCTATTAACAGGACTTTCACAAGCCTAGCTATTTTTACACTCGCACTTTTAGCAATTTGCAATTTTAGCACTTTTCTTAGCAATTAGCAATTAGCAATTTTAGCACTTTTAGCAATTTGACCTATCCCACTTCCCAAGGTTTACCAAAAATGATTTCTGACCGGGCGGCACATAGCCGTTGGAGCGTTGTTAGGTGCGCCGTCATATACGACAGTTACAGTTTCTGTAGAAAGATTAACATCCGTCTACATTTACGACAAAGTTTTGGCTACGACGAAGGTTTTGGCCGCTACCTCGTGCTGAACTTTGCATAGCTGTAGACAACTGGACAACGGATCTTGAGGTATAAAAAGTTAGATGCACATGGTCAGGTTGCTGACCTGTGGCAGGCCGAAGTTAGGCCAGGGCTATCAGCGAGGATGATTCCAGTGGAATCGTTCAAGGTGACGCGTCAAAGTAATTGTTTTAAAGACTCTTTTCACCTTTCACCCATCAGTACATCACACGCGTCCAATTTGATGGGTCATGTCAGTGTTCTCGAAACCCCTCTGAATAGTTCAGAATTTGTATTTGAACTCGCTGACCCTGCGGGAGAAATCTCATTTGACTGCATGCTGACCGCTATGAAAGTAATGCACTTCATTTGCCATACTTTTTCCAATGTTTGTGTTATGTAATGTTTGCAACACACTGATGTTTCAAAATGTTGGTGTACTATATACTACGAAAGCTTGAAACACTTTACACGGAAAAATATGCGAGCATGAAGCTAACATCCCGCAAGTTCAACGCAATGTTATGGCATTGTGGCTTCCGTATGGCGTTACGGCTTTGATCAATCCCTTATTCCTCAAAAAGGCTCTATGTCAGTCAGATTCTCGGTACCAAACGAGGCCCTCCACCCCATTTCAGCCAAGGACCGTCAAACTGAAGTCTCTGTGCCCATGTGTTGGCCACCTGCGGCGATAAGGTGTATTCCTGCGTCAATGAGGGCTCTTGCGTCTATCCGGCGCCAACTGCACGGGTCGGGGGCCTCCAGTGTCGGCATACGTCTAATGTATAATGGGTCCTTCTAAGGGCTTTTATATCGACCAGGGTACACCGCCATTATCACCGGCATTACATTAGGCACCCCATACTGTAATGGAATGGCCCCTCAGTCCCGGACCAGAAACAGAATGTTCCGCCCAGTGCTCTACCCACTTGGCCGTTGGTCCGGAAAACATAAGGGTCTTCCGTAGTGCGCAATAGGGCGGAAAAAGGGAGGCAAACATGAAAACGCCCAAAAAACGAGAATGTCCACTCTTGTCCAGAACCAACTTGTGAAACAAATTACATAACCAAGTTTTGATTCTGCCTGCTCGCAAATTTAAGAAACAAGAACCCTGACTGCCGGGGTTTCAGTGTCAATCAACCCAAATGGCGTTGGCTGATGCAGTTAACACCAGGCAGCGGACCCCTGGCGCGCGAGAACAGCCGTCGTGAAATAATACTCCCGAAAACTTTTCAACATCATTTTGAGCCGGTAGAAATAAGGCCGGGCTCATTTATAGCTGAACCGCATAACTTCTGTATTGTACTCTCAACAGCGACAGAAGCAAGAAAATAGAGATTCCATCGTGACTTGTCCGGTTCCATCAACAGAGTCCAGCATCGCTTCGCGGGGCAGTGCTAATCCAATCTGGGCCCTTAATCCGTTCCTCTTACAAATCAGAAAATGCCCAGGTGAAAGATGCTGCTGGACTATCTTCTAAGCGTACAAATCGACGTCATAAGTTGCTTAAAGGTACTTTCCACAAAAAAGTTATCGTTAAGTTATGCAGCTTCTGGCTTCTGTTTCAGTCAAAGATGAATATTGAAGTACAGCGAAGAAAATCGTGCCCTCATAGTCAAGTGATCATCCGTCATCCGATGATTTTTTTTGGAGAGGGAAATTTCACAAGAAAGTGCCCTTGTCAACCACGCCTCTCCCTCCACATTGTCAACAATGGCTGCGTCGCTGTGTGAGAGAGCTCATTGGTGAGCATCGATGCGTACGCAAGTGTAGTCGCATGGCCACTTAAGAGCCAGCTCAATAACTTATGTTGTTGAAATCGGCTTGTGTTGCACACGACACTGCACTGACGAGACCTTCACTTGCCACATACCCGAACTGAGGCGGGTGAGGATCGCTTACCATTTAGAAGCACAACAGTGCGCGTTTTTTAACGAGCGGGGTAAAGGTATTCTCAGCAGAAGGGCATCTGCCCGAGTGTATTTGGGGAAACGCTGATTATCATGCTCTGAAATATTGGGTGGAAGAGTGCTTATGTTTTGATTACAAAATCTGAAGTGTCTATGTCTTATCCATGCACCCGTTGTATCGAGAACGTTTGTGTAAACTAACTGTGATAACCACATATATTGTGGATGCTTTACTCTTGTAAAGATGTTGCCATATGTACCACAAGCTACCATAGCTATAATGGTCAACTACTCGCAGATTTCACTTTACACTATGTTAGAGAAAGGTGCAACTGCACCACTTCAGCTCCGCAACTCTGTGTGGGAGGGTAGGCTATAGACACACACACACATAATATGTATATATATATATATATATATATATATATATGTATATATATACATATATATATATACATATATATATATATATATGTATGTATATGTATATACATAATGTATAGGCAAAACATAATTAAACCAAATCCGGAAAGTTTTTCGTGTCTGTCCCCTTATGGCGACTTTCACGACTCTGTCTTCCCCCGGTCGTTTTGAGAAATTAATACCCATTGTTAAAGGCGAGCTTATCTTATCATATCTGAGGCTTGCTTTAACATGTTCAAACGTGGAGCATTCCCTTTGAGGCTCCCGTATGTCTTTAACCGCGCCGGCGCGGAACAAACCAACCCCGGCGGCCGCCAAACGCAGACTGTGGTCCTGTCCTTAACAAATGGCCGTGCACACGCGCGCAAAACTGTGCTGCACACGCACATCAAAATATATCGCACCCGATATTTTCGTTTAACGTCTTCCTCGCATGCCATCAATGCTGGTGGTGGCAGGTTCCGTTACCGTCAGGTGGGTGCGTGGCGTCTGTGGAGCCCCTGGAAAGCTGCTTTCCCCATTTGACAACTGGCTGCGCCGCCACTGCGCTGGAGGCGTACTTGCTGCGATAAGGAGGCCTCGGACCCAGTGGTGACATCCGTCTATGTCGCATCCGGCCCCGGTGCCGCGGCTCCAGTGCAGCGGTCAGGCGACTGGCACACAGTTCGAGCCGGCCGGTGGAGCGCACAGGGGACGTGCCGGGTCCGACCTGCGGTCACCCACCGCACAGGAACAGTGACATTGTGGTCCGACCTGCTGCGATCCACCGTGCGGAATCAGTCAGGGCGTTGTTCTGCCAGGCGGCGGAGATGCGCCGTAGCCGGGCGGCGGAGGCGCGAACTGGACTGATTCGCGGAGCTGGGACAGCCAGCCTGTGATCTGACCTGTAACGACCCAGCGTGCGCGGAGAGTGAGGCTCTGGTCCCGTCCGAGGTGATCAACTGCACTGAAACGGTGTGTGTGTTTTAACTTGTGCTGCCACGCCGTGCTGCGACGGTAAGGGTGTAGACTTTGAACCAAGAACGCCAGCCTGGGCTAAAAAAATGAAATCCCATCCTCCTTTCCTATACCCTTTTCTCGCTCTTGTCTTGGTAGTATTATTAAATATTGCGATGTTTTATTGTCGGAGCGTAACCATTGATAACATCGTTGCACCACGCCCGAATGGAGGTTCGCCGAAACCGATCGAAGATGGTCAGGACGCCGACCGAGGAGAGCGTCCTTTGTATAGCAATGACGCTGTCTATATCGCCATCGAAGGACGTAACCGCTAAGGAGAGAAGTATTTACGAAAACAAAACCCGCATTCGAGCTCTATCGCAGATGACAGAGCCGAACGGCGCCAAAAACTCACGCTTGCGGCTGGTCAAGCAGGGCGGAAGCAACCCTGCATTCGTCAAGTCATCCCTCTCCGCCACGAGCGGGCTTTCCCCTGAACAGCATACCCCACGCCTGGAGCTGAACGCGACGCTTGACGAGGACCTGGCGCGCTGGCTTGAGGCCTCAGCTCGCTCGTCTTCCGCCGGCGGAGGTGGCGGCGGCCGCGGCCGCCATGGCGGCGGAGCGGCTGGGGCGCCAGGCGGCGCCACTGGCGCGGCGCGCCGACCCCGTGGCGCTGCGGTACGGCGGCGGCGGTCTGACGCTGGCCGGCGAGCGCAGCTGCCCAGACCAGGCGGCACGCACGCGGCTGCTGGTCGTCGTCGCCTCCACGCCGGCCAACGTGTCGCGGCGCAACGCCATCCGCGCCTACGTGGGGCACGGTCGCTCTGCGTACTGATGTCGTCCTCGTCTTCCTGGTCGGCCGCACCACGGAACGCGTCCAGGCGCGGCTGATGAGGGAGCACGCGGAGCACGGCGACATCGTGCAGGGCAACTTCGTGGACAGCTACCGCAACCTGACGCTGAAGACGACGTGCATGTTGGAGTGGGTCAGCCGGTTCTGTTCCCGCGCGTCCCTCGTGCTGAAAGTCGACGAGGATGTGTTTTTACACATCCCGAACTTGCTATCATTTCTGGAGGAGCACAAGCGAGCAAACAGGACGATCTTCGGAAGACTGACGCACAACTGGCAGCCATTCCGAGATCAAAAGAGCAAGTACTACGTCAGCCGTTCCGAGTTCCCGGATAGCGTGTACCCCGACTATGTGACGGGCCCGGCGTACTTGCTGACCGGCGACCTGGTCCCGCTCCTGTATCGAGAAGTGCTTGTCAATAGGTTTCTCTTTATAGAAGACGCGCTGATTACTGGCGTGGTGGCCAAAAAAGTAGGAGCCCATCTCGAGGCGGCAAAGCAATTTCTCAACATTCGCAAGGTTGACAGGTGTACTGTTCAGCGAACTATATCTGTTCACATTGTCACACTTGCGGAAATGTACGAGTTTCATCGCATGGTTTCATCGGGTGAGGACGTGTGCAAGGATATTGTAAAAAGCACTAAGAATTCGTGAGCGCAAGCTGAATCTGGTGAAGGAGATAAATGCTGAGAAGCGTCAAAGGTACTGGGAATGTGTGACGCTAATCGGTGAGGAGGTGCGCGCCATACAATGACAATAATGTGCGTAAATGCTGAAGCGTTTTTACTTGAGAAATTCTTAACTGGAATTTTGAAGAAAGAAACTACCAAAGAAGTAGGACTTCAATGCTGGCAACAGCAACGGAATGCAGGCCCGAGAAGGGAAAAGACGATGGAGAGACGCCAGTGAATGCGGCGAATGCAAAAGAGCTGCGGTGGACGAATACGAGAGGCAGGTAAGGGAACCATTGCCGTTCAGGGAATTTTATAACATGGTCTTTCCGTGTTATCTTGAGTGCTTATTGAATTTCAAAGCTTCGCCAATGTATTTATCCTCTCTCCTATTCTTGTCGGATTTGATGAAAAAATATATGCTCTTTGTACGAGCGATCTAACTGTTTGCATTGACTGCTGCGATGTGATATGAAGTCCAATTAGCTATCCGTGAATGTTGCCTCTCCAGACGTTTTGCCTTTGCCTTTCTAAGCTAAAATGTTCTGTAAAAAGTCGTCAAAAACTTAATCACCCATGAACACAACACGCATCAGAAGACAATCGGCCCTTCGTGATTTCACCTTATGTGAAAGGAGTATCGGAGAAGAAAACGAGGCTTTTAAAACCAAAGTATCGTGTAGCCACCAAACCGTGTATAAGCCATAGAAGTTATCTAGCTTGGCCCAAAGACAAATCAAAAACGTAGCAAAAGACAGGACGCATTTACCCATGCACATGTGAAGGCAAAAAGTTTCATGTGGGGAGGCATGTATAAGCTTAAAGACCGGAAGGGTGAACACCGGGAGAAATAAGACACGCGGATATCATATCGTCCGGTCTTATCGAAGCACGTTCTGGACACATAGGTCATTGCATTGCATGGAAGGAGGGGGAAATTTTGGATTATGAAGCAAACTGGAGAAAAAGAAAGATTAAGGCGTATTTTCATTTTTAAAACGCGCATTGAGAAATTTCCAAATACAAAGCCGTGGGTTACCAATAACGACTGAATGTCGAATTTTGAGATGAAAAGACTGAAAAAGAGCAAGCGGCTCGGAGCAATATGTAATACGGTTGCGATATGCGGGTTTCGGGGCAGGAAAGTTGTACACGTGTGCGTTATCCTGTTTTAGTGGCGAGATATGTCGCATGCGTCGCTGTTGAACTGATTCCGCAATGTGGAAAGCTATTTACAGGTTTGAAATGTGTGCGCGGTGTCAGTTGAATGCCATGTGACATGACAACATTCAGAATAAGTGCATGATAGTCGTATCGAAAGTGTGAGTGCATGGCGTGTGCTCTTTTCGACGGTTTATATTATTTATCTGCGTTTGAATTGAAAAACAGTTGTCTATTCTACCTTTTTACCTTAGCGGGATAAGCATGCCTCACTGCGTACGACTTTTTAGGTTTTTGGATAAAACAGTAGAAACAACCTCATTTCCTCGTAGAATAACCAGGAGAATCGACGGACAGATACAATGATATTTCGGCTACATGCCTTTATCGAAACAAAGGTGAGAAGTGAATTAAAAAATACCTGTCATGTTCTGCCTCTGAACATCCGTTATACAAATAAAATTGTGTATATAGTTGAACATAAACGATCACATAGGGGAAATTCGTCAGTTTTTTTTCTTGATGTGTGCCTAAATCTGTTTTTATGAATGTCATGGTCTGGCCTAGGCTGAAGAAGGGGTAGAAATTATCCGGGAGTTCCTGTGAAATGTAGGCAGGCTGGTTGGAATATTATCTTTTCATATATCGTACCTTAGAGTCGCATTAAAAACGTAATGAACATTTGATAACGACTCATCCACCAAGCACCGAATTGGTCTTCCCTCGCACGGTGGTCGGCGGCCGCTCCCCTAAGCATCGGGCGTCTGACGTGGTTTTATGAGGCAGCGCGGGTGATAAGGGAGGGGCAGTCATTGGTTGCCCACGCATCACGACCGACTTTACTGAGGAACTTTACTGAGGAAGTGAAAAGAGGTCACGAGATGCCCTGCTTGTGCACAGTCTGCATGGTGCCGGCTTACAACAGATGCATGCTTATTCACCGTGATACACGCCTCCGTATCAGCTACCGAGCAGGATCGTAACTTTGTTATTCAAATGTAAAATGGGCTATGGGTCTTGCTGAATATGGAACAAGATCAAGGGATGCACAGACAGGGGCATAGTTTCATGTTCAGCTGGGGGTTTCCAGCCGTCCAACTTGGGCTTCAGCGCCCCCACCCAACCCTTCCCTCGACATTGAGAATGAGATGGGCCAAACTAAGGGCTGATGGCACAATATTGGCACATTTTTGGGTGGGTTGTTTCATTATTTAGGGTTCAGCCCCTACCACCCCATCCCAACTTATTTTGCAAAAATGCACTTCTGTGGGCAGACATCTTGGTCTTCGACATCATGTTACACTCATGCACTCATGCATCACCAATTACCTATTCTACGGCCGTAACAGTACACATGGAAAAACTGCCCAGCCATCTGAAATGTTTCCACATCGGTGAAACCATTTCCACAGTGGCCATTTTTTGGACGTCCCTAACACTTTGAAAGACACGATTGCGACGAAGTTTCATACACCTCCAGATATGTGTCGCTGATCATTTTGTACACCGCTGCTTGTTTTCTCGATTGCGCGCGCCTCGGCAAATCTGCTGCTCAAGATTTTTACCGTCCAGTCGACCTCCTATGGTGATATTTAGGAAAAGAGAATGTCTCCAGATGTGGAATGAGCTGAGACCACAAACAAGCTGAGTGTTGGAATTATGCTTAATGTACACTTAAGTAAAACCATTGCACTTGCAAATGTAAAAATTGCCTCATGTTGATGGGCACTAATGGACTGTGGGGAATTCAGAGTGGGTTAAAAAACTTAGTTCCACTGAAACGTACTAGATGGTGGACGTGGATCAATAACAATGACCAATCATAATTCGTCCCTCCCGCAACCAAAAAGGAAGGCGGACAAACTCACGGGCTATTCCTTTCCTACATCGCATGCAGGCTTGGGCTTGGCTTTGGTTGCACAAATAACAAAGGTTCCACAATTCGAAGACCATGTTTTCAGCATGAATTCGAGACCGAATTCTAGGCCTACACAATGCCAGACAGTGATATAATGATTGAAATAATAGTTTCTTTAATTTGAGAGGGAAAAACTAGATGATCAATACTTTCACTATCTCCCTAAGCCTGCCAAGGGGATCTGATTCGGGGTTCAGAAGTCAAGCATGTCCCTCGGAGGATGATTTTGTTGTCCATCCGTCTTCTTAGGCCCTCGAAGACTGGTTCACGCAGCAAGCCTCTTCACTGTCTCAAATTTTCCGTCGCTTAGGTGCCTTTCCGTGGCATGTTGCAAATAGGTTTCAGGTGACAATCCAGCTTAAGTTCACTTGGGTGAAGGCATATTCCTGAACGTTAAATTACCTCTGACATTGAGTGGCTGATGCAGCCATGAAGTGATGGATTTTCCAGAGTGACCTCTGATACGGCTTAGCGGCCAACTCGCCGTCAATTCTGGACTAAAATGCCGTCTCGGTGTCCTGCTGGGTATAGTCCCTTAATACACAAAAACATTTGTGATTGTTACTTCGTTACCGCCTTTCACCCTCGCGCACACCACAAGCGGATGAACTGCTGTTTGTGCGGGCCGCAATATATGCCCTGGGTGATAATGTTGGATCCAAAGCGAGTAATTTCTCGGAAATATCCGTGCAAAGTACGCTTTCTCTCTCCTTCAAGGATCTAAACAAGTCTGTCAAAATCGCCCTCTGTGTTTTGCGATGAAGTGATGCTTTGTCAGTGTTGTTAGTTTGGTGCAATGCGATTAATGCTGTATGACTTATATCAACCCATTGCATGTAATTCATTTTGGCGGCATCAGGTGATATTTTGCAAGCCCGCAAAGAGTGACTGGAGCACGCCTGCTCCCGGAGAATCTTTGCAATGCCACAACTTGCATTTGTATTTGTGAGACCAGAGGATTTTCTATGATATTGTTAAGCGGAGTGCTCCGTCTTTGTGTGCCGTTTTGAACTGAAACAGTCATGGTGAAGAT